TAAGATAAATATTTAAAACCACAAGTGCTCTATTCTTTGTTATACATCTTCTGGCATGCTATATTAATATTTAACAACTATCTTAAAGTATTCTGACATCAAAGATCGTTCAATCTATCTTTAATTTCAGAGATCGTTTTATCTCCCATTATATCTCATTCATTTAGATAGACGTTAAAATCCGACCTTATCATCTTCTATTCCAATTAAGATGTTTCTATGATTATTTTATAATCTTAGAATTATTTTCTTTGGAGCTGCTTTCATACTGCCTAGTGTGTATCCACAGGAATTTTGCAATGGCACGATCGGAATACTAATCGTGAAAAGTGCTTGCGAAAATATATTATTTCAGTAAGAAAATTTAGATGATGTATGTGCTTTGTTATATATACGTACATAAAAATTGTTTAACACTGGTATGTTTCAGTCGAATAATATCTTATTCATATGATGATTGAATTACTGAAAATATTCAAGGTATTCTAATATAATAAAGAAGTGAATAAACACCCTCTCCCCCCAAATAACAACAACAACAACAACAACAACAACAACAACAACAACAGTAACAACAACAAACATGAACTCATTTCGGAATATTTTGTAACAAGCTAAAAAAAGCTTCGCTTCTTTCAACTTTTTTAGTTATACCAATCTTAAGGAGATATTTGTCTTGCGAGCGGGTGTTTACAATTGTGACGTTCATGCTAATTAGGGACTGGAACTCGTAAAAGTCTCCCAATTAACTGTGCTTTGTTGAAAATCCAACGCAAATATGTGCATCGCGCAAAAATCATAGTTTTATACAGGTAAACAGTCAAACTATTGTAATATTTCAAAAGTGCAAGACTCACATTCACCACCTTTAATCCCAGAGTCATGATGTCTAGATATACTATATTGGCATCAGTTTACATTTTCTTATGCGTCTTTTAAACAACCATAAGATTGCAAAATGACACGAGTAGATTTTACCACATGAAAAAGAGCCACAGGTCATTATTTCATTTGTTTACAAATTTGCTCGCACGCTTTATGGAAATAATGGAACAAAAGAAAACGCTTTGTATTCAAAAGTCTGCATGTTTAGTCAAAATATATACATTGTTGTTAAATAACATGACATAAAATTTAAGTATTCTTTCATCATAAATTAACAGAAAGCAAATGAAAGTGAAAATAAAGTTTGAAATGAGTTTTTATCATTCTCTGCAAAAGCAAACACAGCGTTTGTAAATAACGATGCCCAGTATTATAAATCCAGCAATTAATGCGATCATAATCCATATTACTTCATATTCACTTCCCACGGTAGACTTCTCGACACTTGACAGATTCTGTTCCTGTAAGGCATAACTTTTTATGACATTCATCACTGACATCAGCGAAGATAGCCGTCATAGTTCTGAAAAGGAACTTGTCACCACATATGTTGCTTTGAAAATAAAATTGCATAATCGTTCCTGTGAAATAACTTAAGGCAATAAAATGTATATCCTTAAAATTCAAATCTAAGGAAAGTTACAAACTCTAAGGATTGACAGCACTGTTTGAAAAACTGTTTTCATCTCAATATTCAAGTTCTTAAGATATCACAATCATTCAATAATGTCTCAGTAACGCCTTGAAAATTTACCAGAATGACGACTGCGTAATTTAATTAGTACATGACATTTTGATATAAATCTTCATTATATTATAATAAATGATCAGAAGTGACTGATGTAATCCATGCTAACACTTAGTGTAGAAATTCACTAATTATACTTTTATATATGATAATATGAGACTTGTTTCTATATCAGTGCTTTAATTTATCTTCACTAATAATTCTTTGCAGAAAATAAATATTTAAAGTCGAATATCCTCACGCTCAGAAAATAATTTGTCTGTCACTTGGTTTCAAAACATTAGTTTTCTAATTACATACTACTGTTTATAAAAATACAATCATTAAAATTAGTTTTAAACATTTAAATTCCATTTCTCTCGTATTAACAACCACTTAAGTGATTCCCACTCCTTCTGAAAATACGTTGTAAACATGAAGTATATAATGTCTGATCTTGGCAATAGAGTCATGCCACTTAAGACAATTACCCCAGCATATGTTAACTCTGCAATGAAAGATTTCTATTTCGCTTGCAAATATATCATCTATTCTGAACGTGACATTGCATTGAGTGAACTAAAACAAGACAACAGGGTTAGTGAGGTCTGGGGAATATTGATTTAATTACGTAAGCTTCATTTAGAGTCATCTTGATCTGTACGAAGGATTAAAGGCAGAAAATGCATGTGAATATACAAAATATCATTAGATTTATTTATTCATAAAATTGAAAAATTAATCTGAAACTTTACTGAAACTGAAACAGTGTACAGAAAAAAAGGAATCTTTAAAGAACATCCAAAACGGCAAATTTGAAAATGTTGCAGGCTTAGTTTGATTGAACCTGTTTGTGAACTGAATTAGTAAGTGAAGCCCCTAGCACCGTTAAAACAAAATTTAACGTTGTACATAAAATGGGAAAATTTTGAATTTAGAAACATGAACATTTTGACTTCTTCTGGTAATGTCTGATAAAAAAATCGGTCTGAATTATTGTTAATAAAAATTGTAATTAATTACATGCATTCATGCCTTTTACCATACGAATCGTTTTAAACATGCGGAAAATATTCTTGTTTGTACAGAAAAAATATTTGTATATTAAATGGGTAATAACATTTAAATTTGCAGAAACTAAACGTTCAAGTCTAAAGGCGAATGTTAGAAAATAAGAATTTTTTATAAACAAATAGCAGAATGACACCTCAACATTTTATTTAAACTTTGCATAGTCTTAGACGTCGTTTTCGAGTTATCTTACCTTAAACAGAAGTGTTGGAAATAGGTTTAGCAGACAATTATACCGTTATTCTTAAGTTGAATAATATAGCGACTTATTGTCAAGTATACCAAAACAGAAGAGAACTTTATTTTGTTTCAGCCATCTGATCAAAACATTAAAACACACATCTTGAGTACCTTTTTAATAATGTTAAATTAATTAAATATGGAAACCGTATGAGTTCCTTGTCTGCGATATTTTGTAATGTTATTGCCATTTTAACAGCTGGAATATTTACCGGAATTTGCAATAATTCATTTAACTCTTGCACAGCCATTGCATTTGATTTCATTTGCTAAATCGATTAGTACATGGCAGTTTAATGTTAATGAATGTTGTCATGTCAAAATAATAATATTTTTAATCAATAAAATTTTGATATTAGCTAAAATCTTAACTATTTTTTATTCACTCAAAAAGTAGAATGTAGATTTTGCCGAAAATGCTTTATTATGTACATAGACCGTATAAAACAATCTGTTTAGTTGCTCTTTTATCAGTTATAAATGTTACTAGGGTTCATGTTATGATATATTCACACTGTATCTAACAATTTTGGTATGATTTATCCAACATAAAGACACACAGGTTTGTTCGTTTTGCTTAAGGTATTATGTAATAAGTAAAGAAATTGATAACATATTTTGCAATAGTGTAGATGATTACTAGATGACTTTAAACTTTATTTAGAAATATCTTATTTGGTTCATTTCACTTTACTTCACAACTTTAAAGAATATCCCCAAAAGTTAGAACAGTTATCTAGACGTCAAAACTATCGAGAAAATACATCGACCATATGACATTAACTGCTCCGCCTGGCTTTGTTTTCTCGGTCATTTGCCAATTTATGTTGCTATACTTCATTTCCAAATCATTGCCTTTAGTAACAAAATGATGTATTACAGATTAAGAAATGTCAATTATCTTTCATACATATGCTTAACTAAACGAAATACTATATACCGTTGATGCGATCCTCGAGTGAAGGGGAATTTCTCCGTGACCGGATATCATGTCTAATGTGCTGAATAGAAGAAGAAGAAGAAGAAGAAGAACATTTTATTGACTTAAACTACATAGTTTCTCGTCATATACATATACACAAACATAATGTACATAAATCATTATATAAATAATCAAGTTCATAACTGCTAAATAATGAACAAGTCAATTCAAGCATTCGAGTGAGAGTGGTCCATTCGGTCCATTACATATATACATGAAGGTGTAAAATTGCAGTGAATATATCCGTAATTGGGTCAGAATACCTGTAAGCTATTTCCGTAGTAAACATTACCATATAAGGAAAACCGAAAGTAAACACTCATTTGCCCATTCATAAACTTTATCGACGTCATTGTTATTTACTAATATCAACCAATCATTACCGTCCCCATGCCAAAAATGGAGACCGGAAATAATAAACCGTCACGCCTTTTTGCGACCACGCTTCATGACTGGAAAAAGATTTTAGATGTTTTTCAACATATTTGACCGCATTACTGGATATATATTTGAGTAGGTAAGTTAAAAATATGACAGTATGTTACATAAATGTACAGAGCAGGTGTTCCAAACAAATATATGCAGCGACATTTGCCCGTAATAACATGATATTAGATAATTCTCAACTGATGTATAGTACACATGTACAAGTTTATATATACTAACAGTGTCAGGCCATTTTTTACTTTTGAGAAAAGTATAGAGTGTAATATACCATTGGAAAGGTCTCTTTAAATCCAGTTTAATGCTTTTTATTTAATCAAAATTGCTCTTTTAATAAAATTTTTATGGCATTTTGTAATATCACTCATTCGAAAACACGTGATGCCAAAAACTGGCCATTCATAACGGTGATTAATCCCGTCGATAAAATAGCCTTAAATCTGCAAAATTTGATAGGATACTTAACTAAAGTAATATTGAAACCTAAGTCACCTTAAAATCAATGAATAATAAGCTGCAGATCCCCCTGTTCGTAGTCTTTCATGAGTTGGTACGAGTATACTGCTCTGTCCCCCTCATATACGATATTATACCACTGAGGATATCCTGGGACCTGAAACAGTTCATTGTTATGTCATGAATTTTGCCACTAAATTAGATAAGTACATTAAAAAGAAATTACTGATACTGTAATAAATACTTCACTTTGTCAAATATGTTAATACCTGTGCTTAAAGACCACCTTTGAAGAAAGACCACCTGTCTACAACGAACACAATTTTAATGACAAATTTTATTTGTGTCTACTAAATTGTATCAATAAACACATCATGACCAAAATAGACTGCTTCTGACTATTGCCTTGAGTGGTCTTTATACACAGGTTTGATGTACCTTTGATAAAGTCAATTCTAAATGTTTGAGTATTATAGCAAGTAATCCAACCTGTCTGTCCAGACTTTTGTTAAAAAAAATAATAAAAATTTAACCATAATTTTAAGCACTGCAAATGGGTGCAATTGCTCTAATTTTTTAATATAGTGTTAACTATTACCATTACCAAAGTAAATAATTAGTGTGTGGGGGGAAGAAATAGGGTGTTAAACATGCATCTGATGGAATTAACCAGATTATTATTATATTTTTTAAAGTAAAAACGTGTTGAGAGTTGGATATGGTTGTCACCAGTCACTGTGTGTGCTTCTAAAGTACATCCAATCATTTATGAATACCTGTGATATAACTGTACCCTTCCACCATTTTTCGTCTCCATCTTCAATAAACTTGTGTTTTACAGTCTTCCCAACCAGCAATGCCCGTCGCTGTTCATCTTCATCATTCCTCTGTGGCTCTATAGTGAAAGCATGCTGAACCAGTTTTTTCAAATTCACAGCCAGTTCATCAACACTCAATTTTTGGTTTCTTTGATTTTCATTTTTTGAGAATCGATACACATTTTTCATATCATCAGAGGTGGGGTTTTGTTTAAGAACGTTTTTCCGGAAGTTTAACTGAGCCTTAAGGGCATTTATCTTCACAGTTTTGCTGTTAATATCACCAAGTTCTCTGTCCACTTCTTCCTCAGACTGCCATAGACCAAAATTAATAATGTCACTTGTGTAATCTGTCAATTTTTGAACTCGACGGGCTTCCTTCTCTGCAGCCATTCTTGCCCGTTCTGCCATTCCTTCCTTTTGCTTTTGTTGAATTTCAGCCTTTCGTCTTGTAAAGTTTTCCTTTACTGTTTGACTTTCCTTAATAGCTTCATTAACAAGCACTAGTTTTTCTTCCTCTGTCTTGCTTTCAATCCACTGTTCCGTTTTATTAGCCGTAAACATAATGTATGCTTCACTGGCCAAAACACTTATATTAGGCTTCTTACGTAGCAAATTGTCAAGGTAACCAAACACTGACTCTGCGAACTTGTTGTGCTTTTGCGTTGAAGCTGCTTTAAGTCTCATGTCAGGTGTGACTTCATCCCATTTTCCACCTGGTAGATGATCAGCATACATTTTCTTCGCGCATTCTGCCATAGCTGGGAGCATTATGTTTAGATAGACAGCCACATGATCGTCATGTTCCCATTCCTGAATGAGGGACTCATAGATAGCATCTTTATGGACAGCATTGAATAGCTCAGTTTCACCTTTCATGAATGCATCAACATTATCAACTGCTTCATATAAAAAGATAACAAATTCAACATAATGTTCGTTCATGTCAAATACATGCACTGATCTATCTTCTAATAAAGACCAAAGTGGACCTGTCACAAACCTACTGATGAGTCCGAATGCCTTTACGCCAGCTAGATACTCTACAACATTCAAGTCATACAAAACTGACTTAAGTAAATTGTTCGACTGATTGTCCTCCAAGAAGAGTTTGATTTTATCATGTAGAAAGAACACTGCAGCTGAACTCTCAAAGAGAATATTAAACCTATTTCCCTTGAAAGGCGTAAGTGGCAATGAGCACATGTTATTTTCCTTAAGGAAGTCTTTGACATAAATGTTAAACTCACTATATTTCCCATTTTTTTCATCAGCACCACGTGCTAGTGCTTTGCAAACAGTTCTTGTAAGTCTTGAGGCACCAGACTCATTTTGTTTATGAAATGACTTATCATAGATGAGTTGCTCTTCAAGAAGTCCTTTCTGCACTGAGACGGCACTCTTATTTGCACAGTCAGCAAAGTGTACTAACCCATGTAAACCACAGAAAAAATTCAGCAGACTACTTGCCGCAATCTGATCAGCCGGTGACAGTTCATCCCAGTTTTCATTCAAGTCAGGAAGAATGGACGTACGAAGTTCCTCTAGTAGACTGTTAAACTTTTTTTCAGTACTAGCTCTATCACTCATGGTTGCTGTTATGTTGGCCAAAACACGTTTTGCAGCTTGATTCGCTTCTTTTGTCCGATCTTCAATATCCCCCAAGATCTGCTGAAAAGCTGAGAGAGTGTCTGCTGCTGACTTTGTGACGATTTCACGCATTCCTAATACATATGTTTTTCCATCTGTGTCCGAGACATGATACCCTGAATACTTGGTACCAAATTTAGTAGTTTTATCTGTATACAGAGTCAAGTTGGGTTGATCTATTAGAGTTTCATTCATTTGTTTTTGTGACAATATCAAACGTTCAACATTCATATTCAACACTGTAGTACGTGTAGGGAGTTTGTCTACTTGTTTATCAATCAAATTTAAAACACACTTTATAACTGGGTTGATAATACTAGCTGGTACATTTAAGGCTAAAAGTGAATATATGCAGGTTCTGAGTTCATAAGTATATTTACCCTTGTCTTTGTCATAAAAATTCAATGTTTATTCATTATTATTTATTATTTCTTGCAAATAGTCTGTATCATTACGTAAGTCTCTGATTACATCTTCATTCTCCTGAAAGCTAGCATTCAATTGTTCATTGACCTGCTTTATTTCATTGCTCTCCATTTCTTTCTCAACAACTGTCTGACTAAGTTTCTCATTTTTTTTCTGGCTACGTGCAAGCCTTAACCTAACACGTTTTAGTTCAGCGCTTTTGTTGTTTAATCTAAATTTTAAACTTTTTACTTGTCGGTTTTGGTTTTTAAGTTCAGATTTCATATTTTCTACAGTTGATTTTGACACTTTACACTTTCTCAACAATCTTAATTCATTTTTTAGTTGTTCATTTTCAGTTTTTGCTTGGTGGAGTTGGCTTGCTAAATTGTAAGACACATTTGCGTATGAACAACTGTTGTCACATGCTACTGGATCTTTCTTCTGTACTCTATCAAATGATGAACGTTTGGGGAATTTAAGATCTTCATTTAAAAAATTTTCTAATTCACGTCTATGAACCTCACTTTTATGTTCAGATTTTTTCAGATTTCTGAAGTTAACTTCAGTTCTTTTTATTATACTTCTGTAGGAACTATCAGCACATTTAACACTTAGATTACATGTGTCAACAGACTTGAGCCAACTAACTATGTCTTTTGACGACAATGATTTACATTTATCTATTAGCTGCTTGTTTGTCGCCATCTCTGCGTTGCCTTTTAAAAGTGGGTGATGAGGAAGGCTAAAGAATATACAAAGGTTAGTAAGCTACAGGTCTAGGAACTCTAAAGACCGCCACCCTAAAGTTGCTGGCTAGCTTCACTTTTCACATGATCAGGAACACAATACATTTCAGAACTATTTAATTAACTTTAAATTTATGAATTATTTTAAAAATGCATAAAGTACTGTGCTTTGTTTATTAATCTGCATGATGTATGCTACCAGTATTTAAAAAATAATATCAGAATAATGCAACTTTTCTTTGCACTCATGGTTTGAAATTTTTATCTTTGAATTTTATGATGATTATCTGATGTCCAGTGCAGCTACTTCAGGTGGCCCAAGTACCGCTACGACTAAATGGGCAAGCAAACACATCGCGAAACAGTTGTCAATGCTGGATATTCACAAAAATCTGTATTGTTTCCTAATTAATAAATGAACAAGTAATTGGCACTTTTAACTGACAATGCTGTGAGTGTTGTTTTCATAAATGATAGTGTAAGGTTATTTTATAGTAAGTTTGCCCATTTTGCCATAGTGATACTTTAATAACTATTACCATATACATGTATATAAAAAGTGAGGATTGTTAGAAAGTACTACTGTGAGGTTATTGAAAAAAAATCACTAGTGATGCTGTTATATACATTCATCTTCTGGCCCCATATTCTCATATGAAAGATATTTAATGCACTTAATGCTTTTAATCTTTGAATACTACATGATATAGATCATATATAAATCTGATAAATATAAATACAATTTGCAAATTTGCCAATTGCACAAATTCATGTGCATTAATATGGACATCAAAAAATCTTTTGAGATAGGGCTAGAAGATAACTACACTTGACTATATGCATGCTAAGGGTCAATTAGAGCACCGCGTAGTGGGTGCCAATGCTCGGCTGTGAAGACGGCACATGGTGCACGACGAGCAGGCTGTGACAATACATAGGATTTTCCTAGGTAAGTTTTGGTACAACGGGACACACTGTACAAGCAGTTTATGACAATACTTCCAGTTTTCTCCGAAAACAGAAAAGCTAATAAAAAGCTGACTATGCATGCTAAGGGTTAAAAAGCAGCTTTCTACAGGGAAGTTATAAAGATAGCTATATTTAATATCAGGCAACAAAATTAAGTACTTCAAAATTACCTGATCAAGTAACTGTTCTAACTGGAGCTCCAGCTCTTCTATTTGTCTTCTAAGAATGTTATTTTCGGCCTTTAACACTAATGCCTCAGGGCAGCGGCCACCACAAGGTCCGTGCTAAATAATATAATATAAAAAACCTGAAGTACCTATTTAAAAATAAAGTTATTAAAAATTAAAAGAAGCAGAAGCTTCACAAATTTAAGTGCTGGGATCCTATATAGATCATTTTAAACTTTGAATTATGTCAGACATAGACATGTGATGGCAATTCTTCAGTTAGTTCTACAACAGATACTCTCTCTCTATGACAAAATACCCCTCCCCCCTTTAAAAACTAAAAAAAATCAAAACTAGTAGTAAAATAATAGAATATATTAAAGCTAACATACATCAACTATGTCTGTGTGTGACTGAGACTCGAACAGGTCTATGTCCGAGGCATACTCAGTCTCTTCCAAATCCAAGGCTTCCTTCAACTCCTGTGATTGTGAATTCTCCTCTGAAGATGAACTCGACGAACTTGATTGAGTCTGAAATTAAATATATGTATACCGTTCCAGTTCAAATGACATCTAACTGTATGTCGTTGATAATTTGCATTAGTGTTCAAACATCTTAGTCATCATGTCATGTCTTGTAAAATTTTGTTCGCTCTCGTTAAAACAATATCATATTTTTCCATTGACAATGACTTTTGTTTGTCGGTATGGTGAAATCTTGCGCTCTTTCCCGAAGCCTACAAATGGATCAAATTATTCACAATGGCAAAAAAATATGTGTATGCTACTGGCTGTCAGTGTCAATGAATTGAATATTTTCAAAAGCATCAATTGATGCACTTTGCAAAATAAATTACAACTTACCACTATATAACACTGGCTGGTTGGACACCAATCATGAAACGCTGGTCCTCTGCATGAACATCTGTATTTCTTTTCGCAATCTTTCTTTTCTACGTCAACTGCCTCAACTGCCACGCCTGACTGATCACTACTACTGTTGTTGTTGTTGGCAGTGGTATTGTTAAATTCAGCTTCTTCTTTAATAGTGATACTACAAAATAAATTTTGTACAAGTTGTACAATGAAATAAATTTATTTTGTTATTTAATTGACATCTTCAGGATTCAATCATTCTCAGACAATCTGTTTATCATTCAACAGTTTCAATTAATCATTTGATAACAGTATCATTGTTCACAACACCATGTTTCATCGTTATGCAAATAATTAATATACTATTTTAATTATTAATACCATACAAGAGAGCCCAGTGTCCGGTTTCGAATTTATCCGAAAACAGATCAAGTGGGGTAAATCGACGTGGATAATTTTACCCGGACACCGGCTAGCTGAAGTTTGAGGAAAATGGCGATAGAAATTTAGCACCGCCCCCATTTGAACGGCTGGCGGCAACTAGCGGTAATACCCATTTTGATGGTTTTGATTGAATATTGTTCTATAAACATGAAATAATTAAGCAAAATATACGCCGGGACACGCGCTATAATATTTACTGCTATAATGATCACCAAACATTGGCAATATTCAGCTGCGGGCGACAACAAAATGAAACCAGTTCTTACGATTTTTTTTGCGACATTTTTCCCGCCATTCATGTCATAACAAGAACTGATGACGTTTTTCACAAGAAGCTCTTCAAAAGGAGTTAAAATTAATGTTTTTATGAGCACCTGTCAAGGTCAGCCTCGTTTCTAACTGTAAATAAACGGTGTGAAAATGACAATCGGGTAAAAAAAAATGGAGCAAAAATACTTTTACCCGCATTTCTTTGAAAAGATAATGCACATATCGGTAGATCAATGAATAATTTACAAGATGCAAATGAAATAAGAGGCACTTTAATACAATTAAATGGAAAATTATCAGGGTGAAAAAGTCTTGTTTGCATTGTGACACATAGGCGGCGCCATTGCTAACCGAGCGCTGACGTCATTATATATACATGATGTAAACACTGTTCCAAGGTTATGTAAAAAGCCCATAGGTTGTGACTATGTTTTGTTAGCAATGTCGCTGCATGAAATAACTTATAATACATCTCTATGATATACATCTTTGTACATAATTCTAAAACATATATATCATACATTTTTATAAGTGAAAAAACAGAGAGGAAAAAAAAACAAAAAAACATAAATCTTACAATACCATGAACAGATACCAAATCTAGACATAAATTTAGTTTACTGTATTATAACATTAATAAATTATCTATTATTACAATTTTACCGTACTGTAGAAAAAAAAAAAACATACAAAAGCAATGCAGGCCTGTGCATGTTGAATTATTTTTAAAACAGGTATCATACATTTACATTTCACAAATATTTCATGTCAATTTAATGTTTCTCTAAGCTTAAACGCTTCATAAACAAATTTACCTAATTTTTTTATTACACCAACCTTTTTTGACTGTAATAACTCATTGAATTTATACACGCTAGGATTTCTATAGAAATAAGGTTTTATATACATCTGTCTTAAAGGCATGTAGGCTTTACATTTGATAACAAAATGGTATTCATCCTCTATATCTCTTTCGTTACAGATAGTACAATAACGCTGATTTCGTTCTATTCGGTTCTGTGCATATCTACCAGTTTCTATGCGTAGCTTGTGGGATGATAACCTTAATCTGGACAGTGAATTCCGAAGTGTGCTAGGCAACACATTCAGGTAAATTTCAAAATCAATACATGTTTTAAAGTTTTTATATAAATAACGTTTTTTCTGAATTATTTACAGAATTGAACCATGTCTGTGCAAAGACATCATATACTTTCTGCCTAAAAATGTCTGGGAAAGTATTCATATTCACAGCATTATGATTATTCCACACATATGAAAAACCAAAGTCATTTAGTAAGGACCTAATATTTGTTGCCCAGTTCCTAACATTTGTAGTATCTACTGATTTACATAATTCTTTATACAGAGTATTTATAATAATATTATCAGATGTCAATATTTTACACCAAAACTTTATCATTCTTGTATATCTGTTTATGTAAAGAGGATATCTACCTAATTCACCATATATGGCCATGTTACTTGTTGAAGTTTTAACATTAAGTAGTTGTTTACAGAACTTTAAATGTATTCGTTCAATTTCTTTTAATTTAGAAAAACCCCAGATTTCACAAGCATAATTTAGAATTGAACCTACAAAAGCATCAAAGAGTTGACACAACAGTCTGTGGGCTTATTTTATAAGCTTTAATTTTAGTCATTAAGATATTAAGGGCTTTGAGTCCTTTCCCAGCTATGTATTCTTGATTAGATGCAAAGTTTCCAGTATAATTAAACACTGTACCAAGGTAATTGAAATCATTTACAACTTCTAAGCTATTGCCAGCATAGGTCCATGTTTCATTTTGCTTTGTATTCCCACGTTTTCTAAAAACCATTACTTTAGTTTTGCTAGTGTTTACTGATAATCCCCATTTATCACAATATATTTTCAGCATATCAAAGTGTTTTTGAAGTTCTGAAGGTGTTCTACCTAATATAACCATATCATCAGCAAAAAGCATCAAAATGAAGGTAATGTCATCTATCGTAAGGCCACAAGTGTAATCTTCTTGCAAAAATAACTCTAAGTCTTCTATAAATAATGAAAATAATAAAGGGGACATAACTTCTCCCTGTTTTAAACCAACTGCACATTCAAAAAACTCAGAATAAGAGTTGCAACATTGGACACATGATTTAACTGTATTATACATACTTCTAATAATATTCAACATTTTGCCATTAATTCCAAGCTTAAATAGCTTAAGCCATAAACCGTTTAAATAAACACTATCAAAAGCCTTTTGCAAGTCGATAAATGCACAATATAACCGGCCTTTCTCATTCAAAATTTTTTGCACAACAGCATTTAATACAAAGATTGCATCTACTGTAGATCTGCCTGATCTAAAGCCAAACTGGTTATCACTAAAAACATTATTACATTCACCCCATCTTTTTATTCTATTATTAAGCAGTCCAGTGAAAATCTTAGCTAAACAACTAACAAGCGTGATGCCCCTGTAGTTATTTACATCATTTATATCATTTTTCTTATGTAAAGGTACAATTATACCCTTAGACCATTGTTCTGGAAAATAACCTGAACACAAAATTGCGTTAAAAAGGTCTGTTAAGTGCCCATTTAGTATGTCAAATGACTCTATAAAGTATTCATTGAGAAGACAATCAATTCCTGATGCTTTATTTCTTTTCAAAGATTTAATTACAGTCTTGATTTCATCTATTGTGAATGGCTTATCAAGCTCTTCAAATATAACATCATTTGGATCACAAAAATCATTGGCACAAAAATTTTCTGCTTCAGGTACTGTTGTTCCGGCTAAATCATCGTTTAGCTTTGAAAAATATTCAAAAAAGTCTTCTAATTTAATATTACCATTCTTTGATTTTTTGTTACCAAATAATTTCCAAAAGTCTCTAGGTTTTTTATGTCTTAAGTTTTCTATTTGCTTCATTTTGCTAAACTCATACTTTCGCTTTTTCTTCCTAACCAGAGTTTTATATAATGATTTGGAATTACACATATTTATTCTGTTTTCTACAGTTTTATAGCTATTAAATTGTGACAAAGCTGATAGATAGGTTGATTTAGCTGCGAAGCAGTCCTCATCAAACCAGTCTGATTTCTTGCATAACCTATTCTTATTTTCGTATGCATACTCAACTCTATTTTTTGTCTCCCTGGAGAATAGAGGGTCAGCAACATTTCTAATTATATTTGTAAACAAATTGACCCCATCGTTTACAGACTCTTTACTAGAAGCATCAATGTTTAATACCACATCATTCAATTCTGGTTATTTAGAAATCAAATTTATTCTGAATGCATCTTTCAACAAATCATTCCAAAAATATCTGGTACGACCAGTGCTTTGCTCATTTTCATTACTTTTATTTATGAAACTACCACATATATCAAATGATAGAGGTGCGTGATCCGACCATTTATTAAATTTTTCTACCTTGAAATTATTTACAATATTGAAATCATTTTCATGCACTAGTAAGTAATCAATGACACTTGACCCTGCTATATTTGCATAGGTGAATGACCCAGACTGATCACAATGCAGACGACCGTTAGCGACTCTCATTGACGTGGATTTACAAAGGTCAAGGAGTTTGAGACCATGTGCATTTGTATTCTTATCCATAGAGGCCCTCGGTAAGGGGAAATCAGGTATATAATCATTATTATCAATATAGTCAATATAGTTATCATAAATAATATAATCATGCCTATTATTTCCTATCCTGGCATTCAAGTCGCCGCACAACAGTACTTTCCCGATTTCCTGATAGTGCGTAATGTCTGTTTGCAACTCATTAAAAAAGTCACAGTTAATTACATTATAGGCTGGCGAGTTTTCAACCCAAATATAAGCTCCTGCCAGATAAATATCTTCATCATAATCAAAGAAAGTTTTGTCAAGTTTCAGCCATATAACAGTATCGTGTAGTGACTTAATAATTTTTACACCATTTACTAATTCATTCTTTATATATATTACAACACCACCACTACATCGCTTGGCATTTCGATTTTGAAATTTTCTATAGAAGTTAATACATTTAAAACCAGATATTTCCAAGTCACTTTCTTTTTTTGCCCAAGTTTCATATAGAAATACAATATCATTTTGTACTACATAATTTATAAAATCTTTATCTTCCAGTTTGTCCCTGCACAGGCCATGAACGTTCCAGGAGATAGTCGGTCATTTGCGGAGAATTTGGTAATTAAATAAATCATATTTCATCAATATTTTTGAAAAAGAGAGCTTGTTCTTTAAAAATTAAAGTATACTTCTTCTTTTAATTAACTAACTCTACCTCAAGGAAATGTAAAAATTGTTCACGTTTGTAAAGCTACATTCATCGAGATGAGCAAAAATCAACCTTAAGAAAAACTTACTAAAATTTTAGGAAAGTAAAAATGTACATGTTATATGCAATGAATGATTGATTGAGCAGTATTTATTACCATATTTCCACTGTGTTACTAACGTAGTAAGGGCTTATTTTGTATATTTTGACATTTATTTGGTAATTTACGTGACTTGAAAATGTGTTTTTACTTTCTTTGTTTATTTGAAAATATTTTACTTTGATTATATTTTCAAAATTTTCATATTTTCTTTTAATTTAATCTTGAACGAGGTAGCAATTTGAATAATGCCATACCAATTGTTCAATGTTTGTGTAAGAAAAGTGGCAAACGACAACGAAAAATTAATTAATTTGTCACAATTCGAAAACATGCTATGATTATCAAAATTATGTACTAGCATTACGAGAAAAAAATCTTTGATAGCTGAAAATAGTGATAAAATTAAATCTGCTCTGGTGGTAAACGATTTCATCGACTTTGGTTGGATTGTCAATATTTACTGTCTCGCTACACGTAATTGATGTAACAAAGATCACTGATACTGACAAAAACCCTCCTTATCACTCTAAATACAAATAATTGCAGAGAAATGTTTTATTGGAAAACATACAGATTAGTGAAATGAAGCATCTGATACGCACTTAACGAACATATTTAGATTGAGGGCACAATAAGGCCAACCATATATTTGATAATATGACATATTTTAAATTACAAATAGTCCTTGATTGATGGCGTTTTAGGGATGATGAACATTACAACTGGCAGACGGTTGGCACGAATGTTATACACATTTGTTCAGATCCTGACTTCCATCATCTTAGAGAAATTGAATGAACATATTTTGATTGAAATCGATGACTACAGAGCGGATAAATAGAAAAAGATTATCCAAATCCCTCACTTTAATATAGAATACAAAGAGAGAGAGTTTTCTTTTGATACAAATACTTTACTTCTATAAAGAAATAAAATAAACTTTATCTATTGTATTTACGTATAAATCAGATAGAGAAACGTATGTTATGCAGTTGCATTTGTAAATTTTAACATGTACTCTGCATAGTATTTAAGTTGAAAACTCTATTCCTTTATGTAATTCATTTTTATACAATAAACTTCATATAATCCGTTTTTTATTACTTATCGAATTTGTATTGATCACATCTGAAGAGTAACTAAAAAGTGTAATTGTAAATATTTATCTGCTTTCTCATACGCGCAACATTTTACAACTGCTCTTCAACAAAAGTATTTTTGTCGGAGAACTGTCATCAAAGAATATGAATATCTGAGTATCGCTCATGTTTTATTCTCGGTTAAATTCATCATAATCAATGCCACAAAAATAACTGTAAAATAGAATTAACGAGAGACTGACAAATTCACAAATAAATGTAAGGTAGTTGTTCTCATAAATTCTTGTATTTCCTCTTCTAAACTGCTCATAATTAAACTGTAATTCATGAAAAGACTATTTCTACTCCTTTTAAGAGGAACGTTTCATTTCCTTCAAATTATTATGTTCCTGAAATCGATAATCCAGGTATAAATCATTTCCCCCATATCTGACCTATTCTTTAGTCATTCTATATATGTTTCACATATATCAGATGGCAGAATGATTTAAAAATCTATATAACACAATATGACAAAATGATAATGAAGTGTTCATATTCCATTAAAGCACTGTTCGTAACCGGAAACTCACAAAGTACCAACTTGTGATTTGATGAAACATTTTGTTATCTACGAAATTTTTGAGTCACCTACTTTCACTCTTTAAATGTTACGAAGCAAAATGTTCTAAAACTTCGTTAAAGATATCGATGTATTTATATACAGTTACTAGCATATATATTCATACTTTATTTTTGTCTCATTCGTATACATATATTTTATACATATTTACAAATATTCACATAAAATCTGCATACGACCATTCTATTTAAGAATTTCAAGAGACATTATATCAATGATAAACATATTCAAGACCTATTACAGTTAGACTAAAATCAAATAGTTAAATTACAATGTATTTAAACAAAATATTAAAAGTAAGGTAACCATCGCTAATCGAAAAATAAAAACTGCTAAGAATTGAGAATTGTAAATCGTAGCCCTAACGCGCGTATAAAAAACGTTTTAAAAGATCGATTATCATCCAAGATAAGATTTTGCATGACCTGATTAGCAATGATTACCTTAACCTAGGTAAAAATACATTATCATGTTTAAAGCAAATATAATGGCATTATTTACAAGAAAATAAAAGACGACGTTGTAGAATGTTAAAACAGGTTTTGGCACAATAACGTATCATTTCAGTTTAAGTGAACAGAAATATTAATTGTTCATTTTTAGACATTTGTACAAATGCATTATCTACCGTTTTAGCTTTATCAAATAATGATTGTCGCAAGTCATCGTACACAAAGCAATCAAGAATGACATGGCTTTCGTCTTCAATACTGTCACAGAACAGGCATTTTCGTTCCAATACATCTAAGCCTTCGTAACGCCCAGTTTCTATGCGTAAAGGCGCAACACCACAACGAAACTTGCTAAATGCAGTGCGATGACAAGGAGGCATAATGAGTTTACAATATAATTCTGTCTCATATTCTGTTTTAAACAGTCGATATGTACGCAGCTTATTGCCACCACGACCAGAAGGACATGTGACACTTTTCAAATATTTGAGCCAGTTTAAAACAATTTTTCTTGCAATTTAGTTGTAACAATATTCACTATAGCATGTTGATAGAATGCCAATTCAAATGATCTGATATTCATTGAATCAAACTGCAATAATTCAACTCTTCCAATAATTTATGATTTTTACGAGACTATAACAGACTGTGACTGTGGAAAAAAATCTGATTATTAGAGTAATTAAAGTAAAACAGTGTTATTAAATTAGCATTGTCATTTTAATTAGATTTAATTCACAAATAATACAATTTCTTCAATTCAGCCTATAAGGAAATTTTAGGGAGTACAAGCATTTTAACATCCGTAAAATGAGTTTAATGTTTGTTTGTAAAGTTAAAAAACTTTTAAAAAAGTCATATCTTCACATATATAGTTTATCTTGAAATCGAATAATATTATACATACATATCTTTTTGAAAAACAACAACACAGATTTAAAAACACAAACTGCACACATAACAGTTAAGCTATTTATGTTGAGATTTTAAATATCATAGTTACTTCATAAAATGACACCAAATCATATTATCCGAATGACAGGAGTATTCTTTGTTCTGAAAAAAATCATAAACTGTAAGACATTTCCAAAATAATTGTTTCTTTGTTTTATAGAAACTAATTATTTATCTTAAAATTCTTTCTTCTCATAGGTCAATAAATTGACACCAGGTTGTCAAAATATGTTTGATAATATCTCACAACGTCGCATCTGTGTTTGGGTGTAACTCAGTTATATAGACATTGTAAACATTTGTGTTTCTTTCTTTTAATCTGATTCTATGACATTGTCTTTAAGTCATTAGAAATGCAATATCTGAAGAGACTTTCCTCGGTTTTAATCAATCATAAGTGATTCAGTGCGCTTTTAAACAGTGAGATTAATAAGTGTGCTCTTAAAATGCTTGATATAGGATTGATAATATTTAGTTCGAACACTTTATATAATCAGTTCAATGAATGACAAGAATAAAACAAATTTAATCCTTAAAGTCAAGCTAATATGCCTTGAAACAAACAAACGAACGAACGAACGAACAACACAACACAAGCAACACAAGACAAACAACACAATATATAACTTTTATTATACACAACAATTGAAAAAGTTTCATAATTACAGAATAACCTAAAGAGAGAAAGAGATTTTTACCGTGCTCAATCAAAACAAAACGAATCAAATCAAAATTTATTTATTGTCGGTAAAACATATAAAACATTTCACAAAAAACATAAGCTATGTAGAGTTTTTTACTGACAGCAAAACATATAAGTAATCTCCAAACGAAAATAACGCTATTTTTATGATCATTTTCACTGTGCGTCCTAACATTCGTTTTATGCCTATTGATTACCCATATAATTTCATAGTGTAACTATGTACATTGTAGATCAAAATAAGACCAGAGTATGTTTTATGATGTATCATGAAAACTTTCGAAGACTTTATGCAAAACATATCGTTTTTTTTTTTATTTTCATGCAACGTAATTCAATATTCTCAATTAAGTGTGTATGCATTTTCAAATTTACAATTATGTTACTGCAGTTAAATTTACATATACAATCATCATCAGTTAGCATACGAATATCAATGTCGTTAAAACATTATGTGTAATAGTCATTTTGAGGTTATAAAGTAACTTTGTTTCTTTGAAGGTGAATTTATAACAGATAATTAAAAAAAACGGTAGATTTATGTAAATATTCTTCTTTTATAAGGAACGAAGAAAAAAACTGCTAGGTAAGTATCCATCGAACATAACTCGTATAAACTTTAATCATTACGCAAATACGTGATTCGTAATCTTCAAAACAAATTATCCTGAAATAGAAGCTAGAATACTGAAAACTGACAAACGAGAAGCATTCACAATTTGTTTTGATTGCGTGTTTTATTAGTTTTAAATTTGTAAAAATGAAGTAGCGTGCTTATCTTAGATATCTTTATTCTCTTAAATGAGTTTGCTAAAATTGTATGGGTTCCATCAGAATTTGAGTAATCGCTTTTGGCTAACGCAATATTGCAATTATATCTTACACCTGATATGAGACAATTCGTCGCGATTGAAACAAGATAAGCATTGTTTAAATTATTGGGTTATCG